AGGTAACTTATGAAGGAAAACCTATCACACTAACTTCAGACTTCGCAACTGAAACCTTACAAGTCAGAAGGGATTGGGACCCCATTCTCAGTCTTCTCAAACAGAATAATGGCCAACCTAGAATTTCATATCCTGCTAAACTAAGTTTCTTTTCTTTTTTTTTTTTTTTAACCGAAGCATTTATTGTATGACTAATTGTTGAAATTCTTAAGATGAACTGGATGCTGCAACAGCTGCCCTCTTGGGTTTAGGTGTTGTTCCTTCACGGAATCCATGCTGAATCTGCGGTATACAATTTTTAGGTGCCTCATCCGACCAGTCCCGGTGGTATTTTGTCTCTTAGCCTTGGCGCTCCAATTATACTTTCTCTTGCACTTGGCAGGGTAGCCACATTTGCCACAGGTCAACTTTTGAAGGTGGTAGGCCTTAGAGCCACAACGGCGGCACAACATATGCGTCTTATTGCAACGCTTACCAAATGATTACGTCCCCTTTGTCATCTCGCTTCTGTGGCTGAGACCAAAGAGAACTAAGTTTCTTATATAAGGTAGAAATAAAAACCTTCTCAGACAAGCAAACACTGACAGAATTTATCAAGACCAGACATGCCCTGCAAGAAATACTCAGAACTGCATACACAATAGACACTCACCAGTATAAAATCACCCAAAAGAGAGCCCAGATACCACAATGACTCCAGAAGTAAAACAGAGCAATAAAGTTTTGCTCAGCAAGAAAAACAGAAATCCACCCCACTTACTAATTGTTTTAATAAATTTGAATGACTTGAACTCCCCACTCAAGAGACATAGGCTGGCTGAATGGATAAAAAATACAAGCCAAATATTTGCTGTCTCCAAGAAACACATCTGACCCATGAGAACTCATTCAGACTCAAGATGTAGGGATGGAAAACAATATTCCATGCAAATGGGAACCAAAAGAAAGCTGATTTAGCCACTCTCATATCAGATAACATAGACTTCACATCAACAAAATTAAGAAAGACAAATATGGTCTTTACATAATGGCAAAGGGAACAAATTCAACAAGAAGACATAACAATTCTAAATATTTACACACCTAACACAGGAGCACCCGGATTCCTAAAGCAAATCCTATTTGTTTTGCACACCACCATTATAGTATTAGTGTATATTGAATTTGACAGTGTAATTACTTTTACTAGTGAGTTTTATACTTTTATGTAGCTTTTTATTATTCATTAGCATCTTTTCCTTTTAGTTTGAATAATTCTCTTTAACACGTTTTTGTAAGATAGGTCTATTGATGATGAAGTTTCTAGTTTTTGATTGTCTAGGAAAGATTCTTTTTTATTTCTGAAGGGAAGCTTTTCTGGATAAAGTATTCATGAATGGTGGGGGTTTTATTTTTTCCATCAGCACTTTGAATACATTAATATCACCTCACTCTTTTCTGGCCTTTAAGATTTATGTTGAGAAGTCTATTATTGGGCATGTTGGAATTCCCTTATATATTATTTGCTCTTTCCTCTTGGTGCTTTCAGGATCCTCTCTTCATCTTTGATATTTAATGGTTTGATTATAATGTTTTGAATAGTCTTATTTGAATTGAATCTGATTGGTAAACATTGACCTTGTATATCATATTTGTATATTATATCTTTCTCCAGGTTTGGAAAGCTTTCTACTATTATTTCTTTAATAGACTTTCTATACCTTTATATTTCTCTACTCCCCCTTGAATGCCAATGAGAGATCACTTTGCTCTTTTAATGCTATACCGTAAATTCTGTAAGCTTTCCTCATTTTTTCTCATTCTTCTCATTCTTTTAAAATCACCTATATTTGACTTCACAGATTTTTTTTTCTTCTGCTTGATCAATTCTAGTGCTGATGCTATTACAGTTATTTATTTTTTTTACATTCATTGTGTCTTTCAGCTCCAGGATTTCCATTTGATTTTTTATTATTATTTCAATCTCTGTCAAATTTCTCATTCTGATCACCTATTGTTTTCCTCATTTTATTTAATTGTTTCTCTAAATTCCTTAAAACATCTCTTTTGACTTCTTTTTCAGGCAATTCATATATTTTCATCTCTTTTGGGTCAATCACTGGCACCTTATTTTGTCTATTTGCTTATGTCATTTTTCCCTAGTTGTTCTTAATTCTTGTGACCATGTATCGATGTCTGCACATTGAAGAAAGTACTCATTCTAGGCTTTACAGCCTGGTTTTCTCTGAGAACATCCTTCAACATTAAGTCTGTCCAGAAATTCTAAGCAGGTTATCTGTTGTGGTCTCTAAGCCCCTGACTGCTTTAGCCATGGTAGCACTTGAAAATGTCATAAGCTCAGGACCATATTTGCTGGTGCCACCCTAGGCTAGAATCTCTTGGCTGCCAAGCCTGGCACAGCAGTGGACTGCCAAACCCTCCCTGCTGAGGCCTGCCTATCTCCATGGGTGACTTGGAGACTAAGACTGCTATAGTCACCTGGCAGTGCTGGCAGTTAGAATTCAAGTCCATCTTGCAGGAACTATGACTTCCCATCTGGTTCCAGAGTGGACTCAGGAGTCATGAGAGTCCTCCTTGTGATGGATTTTACTGTTTCAGACATGTAATTATGTTCAATGGAAGGGTCCTAGGCTTACATCCTTTTATTTCCCCCAAAAAGACAGTGTCTCTCTTGATACTGTGCTGCCTGGGGTTGGACTAGAGGTGATGCAGGTAACATGAAAACTGTCTTTTCTACTCTATCCAATGTGTCTTTTATTATTTTTATACTATAACTAGGTCTGGTAATCTCTCACCAGGTTTCCTTAGCTCTTGTGAAGGTGTTATTGTGGGTACATGTCTATTAAACTTGAAGTTTTAGTGGGGGGATAAATTGCTGGGGAGTATTGCACTGTTATGCTCTGCACTTTCTCCAGAAATACCTATTTCTAAATCTTTTCTTAGTTGTCAAATAATTGCACGTAGAATTGACCAAAACATTTTAAAATTCTCCATATCTGTGCTTTGAGCATAATATTTTAAGATTCTCATGTTAATTTTGAGCATTTTAAATATTTCTCCTTTTAAAAATTTCTCCAAGAGTACTAATCCTTGGATCCTTTCCCCATCATGATACCATATCTAGGATGTATGCACCACTCATGCCATTTTTCTGCTTTCCAAGTCACTGATTTCTTTCATCATTATCAATACAGTTCTTTTTTTATTTTTAAATGCCTTTTTTTCAAATTTTTTGAACTCTATTCTGATGTAAGTATGATAATCTCATGCTATTATTGTTTTGTGCTTTCCTGATTTGTTTTTGCAAATCTTTGACCTCTTTGTTTTATCTATATCATATATATGCATGCTGGATCAGACAAGGGTTTTGTTCTTGGATCCATAAATAACATCAATGTTATCAGATCCTTTCCTCTACTAGTAAGCTTGTAATGTAGAGTTCCTGGTATTTTCTCAAGGGAAATGTAGGAGGAATGCAAAGGTTAGCAGGCACACTAAGCAATTTCCATTCAGGATAACTTCAATCTAATCTACTGGAGTCTCTGCCCTAAGGAAATATTATCACCCTGGGATATTATTTTTATCACAGAAAACTTTGGTAGGAGCTTAGAGTGGCTCATAATGAAACCATGTAGCTCACATGTCCTATGTTTAATGACCTAGCAGTTTTTATCTATGTTCCTTAAACAAAAATATGGTTGATCTTTCCCTTTTCCCCATCTATGTAGATTTCACTACAGGAAGAATAAGATTTTAACATGGAATGATTAAAAATATGTTTTCAAGCCATTGTTCCTCCAGAACATGGTGTTTTGAGTGCACACAGGGTCACTATTGGGGTGCTTTCCTCTTCCACTGTGGTCTGCCAATACCCCAGTCTTCATGGGTCAAAGAAAAAGAATGTTGTTTGGCCCATTCAGTGTGTTGTTCTCCCAATTGCATTTCTACACAAGGTAGAAATTTTCTCTTTGCATCCTCTCTTGGTATATTAATAAGTTCATCAATGGTGGCAAATATTCTCAAAGCCTGTTGGGGGTTTTAGCTGCTTACTATCCAAGTAGAACATTTTCTTAATCTAAAAAGCTTTTGTTGTTGTTGTTGTTGTTATTTAGGTAGATTCATGAAAAGAACCCAATTTGGAAACCAAAACTTATATTTCTTTTTCCAATAATTGCTCCTATCATCCTTAAAATGTTAAATTTCCCCATCCTTAGAAACATCTCTGGAGCTCAACTCTCCCTCCAGGTACAGCCTCATTTCTCACACCACTCTAAATTCAGACTTCTTGAAAAGGTCGTTTGTCATCGTCTGACAATTCAGCATAACTGTGTTAATCTTCTCCCATCAAAGTTATTAGCAGGAACTAAAGTTTAAAAAAACTTTGGACACATGTCAGTCTTTACCATGATGAATTTCACCACCACTTTTGATGTTGTTGCACCCATTTACTTCCTGAAACTTGCTTTCTTTGGCTTTCATAAAGTTGCATCCCTTCTGCCCCTCTGATTGTTCTTTCTCAGGTAAAATAGAATATATTTCAAGCTTGTTTTCAAACAAGGAGAAGTACAGGGTTTTATCTATGATGGGGGATTTAAGTGATTGCAATATGGAAGGAGACTTAGAATATAAAGGCTTGCTTATGTGCTGATTAATTCTGTGACCTGAAGTGAGTTTCTTTCCTTCTCTGAACTGAATTTCTTCTATAAAATGCAGGAGGTTTCGCATAGCGATCTCTAAGGGTTGATAAAGCTTTACTGGGGCTTCCGCGGGTAAGAAAAGACCTCTGACATTATGGTCATTATGTACCTCTGACCTCTGTTAAGTCCCTGGGGACTTTGACATTGTCCCCCACTGAGCAGGGGTGAGGAAGTTGGCATTTACTGATAAGGTAAGAAAGGGCAGTGCCTTTTATAACTTCGGCTCCACTCATGGCACACCCACCCAAGGAAGATATAAAGGAAGAGATCAACTCAGCTCTAGGCCTAGTTTTTTTGGGTGAAATGAAGTCCACCATCCTCTTTGCCTTTTCTCTGCTCCTGATCCTTCAGAAGCAAGCAGCTGTGCTGGGATTCAGTGGTGAGTGGAGAGGGTGGGCCTGGGGGAAAGCTACTCGGAGAGAATGGTCCTTAAGGGTAGTCAGGGTGCAAGGGGTAACCTGTTCAGGCAGAGATTCTTCTTCTTGATGGGGATTGATTCTGCTCTACTCAAAGCCTTCTGGAAACATCAGTAATTGTTGGGGAAATGCGGGAGGTAGGAGTTGGAAGGGAACTTTGGAGATGATGAAATGCATACATTCTTATTATCCATTGCCAGGTGGATCCCAAGGCCAATTACCTGTTAGAACACAAACGCATCTACATACAATAAAAGGCCACTACCCTCATGGAACAAAAGACACCCACCAAGCTGGATCCAAAGGCAATTTTCATGTTCAAATTGAAGAGCAGGTAGATGACAATGATCATGATCGGAAACAAAAATATAATCCACTTAATTTGTATGCACCACATGAAACGAATATATTAAGAAAATATCTACATAGACTGCAAGGACCACTGAATTCTGAAAAAGAAGGCAGACATCAGGATGAATCAGGAGACCATCTTGTCAGGCTAACGGTACACCACGGTACAGATTGTGAGGATGATAATGAGTTACAAAATCCTGATGAACATCGTGAGAATGACCTATATATAATGAGAATGCTAGGCCAACATCCAAATATTATAGAATGGTCATGGGGTCACGTAGCAAGGAAAGAAAAAACCCCACACCATCAATATAGGCCACGGCACAAACACCAAGGCTTTTTTACAATCCAAAGCACACGGCCAGTATATGACCAAGAAGAAGATGAGAGTCAAAATCTTCATCAAGATGTTTATGGGAATGAAATCTCAGAGAAATATGGTAGACATCCAGGACAAGGCCCACTCCATTATGCCTCTGAAGCCATACCCCAACATGCATACCAACTCATTATTCCTGTCCAAAATGCGCTCGTAGTATATGATGAGGATCAAAACAAGTCAGAATATCCTAATCAAGATCAAGGGCAAGATCAGAATGAATATGAAATGCCAGACCAATATCTAAGACTACATGATCATGGAGCACGACACAGGATGCAAGATGAATACCATCACAGCTTTTTTACCCAAAGAGCACACCCAGAAGATTACGAGGGTCGAAAGCAGAGACGAGATCCTTATCGAGATCTGGAGAATGGTCACAGTGAATATGAAATGCCAGACCAATATCTAAGTATAGAACAAGGACCATTTGAATATGGAGAACAAGGCAGACAACATGATGGATACCAACACAATTTTCCTTTCCAAACTGAACAGTCGGGAGATGACAGCTATCAAAACCAGATACAAATTCTTAATCCAGATCAATGGTATGATCAAATTGTAAATAGACTGTTTGGCCCATATCTAAGAGGAAAATACCTAGTCTACCATGAACAAAAAGGCAAATACCAAAAGGAATTCCATGAGAGGTATAAAATGGCACTTATAGAGAAAACAGATGACAATGATGATAACAATGATTATAACCAAAATCTGTACCAAGATCTGTACCAAGATCAATACCAAGATCAGTACCAAGATCAATACCAAGATCAGTACCAAGATCAATACCAAGATCAGTACCAAGATCAATACCAAGATCAGTACCAAGATCAGTACCAAGATCAATACCAAGATTCGTACCAAGATCCTTACCAAGATCAAAGGCATGATCATAATGAAATTCCACCGCAATATTCAAACATAGTAATAGTACCAATCTATCATGGACAACAAGACAGACATCAAGGTGAATCTCAAGGCAGTTATGTTCCCCAAACTGAACAGCAATATATTGATAATTACCCTAAACGTCCACTAAATCATAATCAAGATGAAAGGTATCACCAAAATCCGCTGAGAGAGATATTACAATATCTACATAGACCTGTCAATTGTTAACCACTTGAACAGCAGGACCAATATCAAGGTAAGTTTCTTATCCAATAGGAGAAATACCTGCCCAAATGTTTAGAACTGGTACCTGGGGACTCCTCAAGACCATTTTAAGATTGATAACCCTGGTCCACACCAATAGAAGTTCTGTATTACATGCTTTGGGAAAATGAGCACCATTCCCTGGTGAGGAGAGCACCTGGTAGCAGCAGGGATGGATGCCTGTTTATCACTGGGTTCTAGAATTCTTATGTTTAATTGAGTATTCTTCAGTGGTTTTTTTGCAAATGCCTACCAGTTAAATATATTTTTGAACATGCACTGAATCTATAATCTATATACATATTTATAAGTTTATGATATGCTCTTGTCAATTCTTATAGCTTGGATTATTAGTAAACCTTAACTTCTTACATTAGTATAAAACATGATAGTAGTTAATATTTTCTTTCTGCAAGCCAATGAATGTTCTTGCATCCCTGTTAGAGTTCTTCTATTCTCCTTCAGACACCATAAGCCGAAGGATTAGCTGTCCTTTCTCTCAGAATACAGGAAAGAGATGAGGAGAAAGAAAACTCTCTCTTCATGGTGTGGGACAGGAGATGGAAAGAGAGGCACAAGAGATGGGGAGGAACCTCAGGTGCCCATTGGACCTTTGCAATGTCAGTAGAGGAAAACTGAAGCCCACAGAAGGGAAATGATGCTTCCTTGTCCCTTTTGCAATAAGTAACACTGCACCTGGAGAGAGGCTATGCAGCAGAAATAATGGCTCCAGCTGACAACTAGTGGCCTGACATCCTAGTGTTCAGGGGCTGGTGCAGTTCAAACTAAAGAGGGCAGAGATCCCACCTCCCTTCCCCACCCCTCACTCTTCACTACCCTCACGTCACTGATTGTCCTCTCTCCCTAGGTGTCACCTGACCTCGGTGAAGTCTGTGAAGTCTCCAAGATGCAGACTCCTATGTCGTTCCAGATCCTTGGTCCATGGATGACCCCACTAGCCCATGCTTTCTTGTTCTTGGGGTTTCTAAGCGTGGAGCTCCTTTAAACACTTGCTTGCCAATAAAGAGATCACTTTCTGCTTCATTTGCTTTTGGCTCCTGTGATCTCTGGATTCCTAAAAGTCAAGGGGTTGGGGGCATTTCTAAAATAGATGGTTCTGGGAAAAAAAGAAAGAGATATTCTCGAAGCATTAGGGAGAATAGTAGTGAAAGCCACATTTCTGGATCTCTAGCTAGAAACCCAATATTAACAATAGAGTACTGGCCAAAGGAAAAGAAATCACTTTATCAAAAAGATGCCCGCACTCATATGTTTATCACAGTGCTATTCACAATAGCAAAGATATGAAACCAATCTAAGCGTGCATCAATAGATGATTGAATAAATAAAATGTGGCATACATACCATGGGATATTACTCGGCCATAAAAAAATAGTCATATCCTTTGCAGCAACATGGATGGAACTGGAGGCCATTATATAAATAACTCATAAACCTAAAGTCAAATACTGCATGTTCTTATTTATAAGTAGGAGCTAAATAATGAGTACATGTTGACACAGAGAGTATAATAACAGACATTGAAGACTCAGAGGGTGGGACGGTGGGAGAATGAGTGAGAGGGATGAGGTGAGAAACTGCCTAATGGGTACCATGTACACTAACTGGGTGAGGATTACACAGGAAGCCCAGACTTCATCACTATGCAATATATCCACATAATAAATCTGCACATGCACCCCACAAATCAACTTTAACAACAACAACAACAACAAAAAACAAGGTGCTAGAACTCTGCCTGTCACATGTCTACCACCTGAAGCCAACCCTAAAGCCCTTCATGACCCTTTTAATAATGGAACTCCAAAAACTAAAACCTCCCAGAAAGTTGGTACTGTTGCAACAGGCTCTGGGAAAGTCCCTGGTCTACTGGCCATCAATTCCACAAGGCCACAGCAGCACATCCCATCCCTTGGTGTAAGTAATGTGCTCCTCCTTCTGCATTTGTACCAAAAGGTAATTTATCAAGTCTCCACCAATTTAGCAAAAGTGAATGGGTTAGACAGTGTCATCTGTGGATAAACAGGCCAGAGGATCAGCTAAAAGAGTGTTTTTGGGGTAATAGGTCTTAAAAATGGAAACCCTGCTGCTTATACTGCCTTCTTTCCCTTAACCTAAGGAAGCTTTGAGGAAAGGCCAATCCTCCATGAGACGAAACCAGGGTAGGGGAATAGAAAACCATTGGCCTGGGCCTGGGGATAAGAGATCTGGATTCCAGTTCCAGCTCTACCCCAAGAACCTATATATGTTCAATTAAATCTGTCTTCTCTCCAAGCTTAAATCTACCATCTGCATATTGAGGCCCTGTACTCAGCCACCTGCCTATTTTTCAGCCCCCAGTTAGAGCAGAAAGACTGTGAGGCCTTGGGGGCCCTGCCATCAGGGAAGCTTGAATTCCCTACTAGAATATACTGTTGGGATTCTCACTTGCTATAGCAAGAAGTGTCTTTGATACATTAGTGATGGTCAGGAAGGGGATCTAAATTGACATGCAAGCAAGCAAAAGAGCCAGCCATAAATGCTGTGGGCTGTAGTACAATTAGCATGATATTTTATTCCCATCACTTTTTAGCTGCACAGCCTTGGGCAACAAGCTCTCTGATGCTCAGCTCCTGCATCTTAATGCAGGAATAACAATAACCTTTTCACAGAGATGCTTAGAGGTACTGAATGAGAAGACCTCAGCCCCAATGCTCAATAAAAAGTTCCAGAATGACAAATTTGGTAATAATAATATTGAAATGATCTTTTATTATATCTTCTTTGAAAGTGAGGTAAAATACAAACAAAGAAAAGCACAGATTTTATGTATTTATTTGATGAGATTTGGCAAGTACACCTATGTGGTTAAGCAGCATCCAGATAAAGATGTAGAACATTCTCAGCAGCCTTGAAAGTTGCCTTGTACCCCTTCCAAATTCTAATCCCAGGGAATTCTAGCAAGATGGCTGACTAGAGACATCGCTTTGCCAGAGCGTCCCAGAGGAAGGAAGGGGGGTGGGAAACATGGGCAAAGCTTGGGTATGGTTTGCAGGAGGAGGTGCCAGAGGGAAATTGCAAAACAGAACAAGAGAAAGAAAAGAGAAGAGATGGCAAGGATCTAACACGAAGAGGCTTGGAGCCCAGTAGAGGGGAAAGGGGGAACCCATTTCTCCTTCCCACATACCTTCAGTAATTAGCAGGATACTGAGTTGTTGGAAGCTCTCTATCCTTGGGAGCCCAGGTGCTGCTGCAACCACTGAATTGTATAGGGAACTGGCATGATCCCAGAGCTTGGACATTCCATGCAGGTTTCCTTTTGGGAGGGGGACTGGAGGAGCTGCAGTCCCAGCTCTCTTCTCTTCCACTCAAACTCTTTTCCTCCCCTTGCCCCTCCCTGACCCACTGCAGCCAGGAGGGCAGATTGAGAGTTTTGGAAGTGGTTGCCTCTCATCAGCTGCCTTCCAGTCTGGGGTCTCCATGAGAGTGGGGCCCACACGTTTCCCCTTGAGGATCTGCAGTCAACCAGGGGGTGCCCAGCATGGGAGTTCCCTGCCTGCCAGCACTCCCCAAAAATGCACCAGTGGGCCAGACACATAGGCCAGATCCTATGCCCCCTGGACTAGGGGGTTCTAGGGGGCACAAGGGAGAGATTGGAGAGCTTGACTCGGGAGGTGAGATAGCCCATACAGGCAGAACTGACGGGAGAGTACTGTGGGGGTCTGAGCCATGGCGATCTGCGGGAGCACCCATCCCCCCACAGGAAAGTTGCACTGTCAGGCCAGGGTGGGTCCCCCAGTGTGAAGTTCCCAGCCTGCAGTGCCATCGCAGCATAGAGCATGGCATGTTCCAGTGCCCATTTGCAAACAGACACTGGAAGGAGCTCTCAGGACAGGGGGTGCTCACTCCAAGAGCCAGTGGGTGAATCACAGACAGCCCCTTCACCACAAGCAGTCTTTCCAGTTTTGAGAGACTGCTTTGGCCCCTCTCACAGTGGCTTTTCTCAGGGGCCTGGGATACAACCTTTGAGCCCTGCTGAGATTTTGTAGAGCCTTCCAAGCTCGCCCAACCTAACCCCACCCAGCCTTGCTCCTTTACCAACGTCTGTTGTGGTGGAGAACAAGCAATCACCTGAAAGACACAGGGCCCCTCCCATTGCCTGGGACATTCAAGTGCTTCTCCTAAGGGGCTAACGCCTATTTCAGGTACAAAAGAACATCTCTGCAGTTAGCTCTTTCCTGCAAGCATCAACCACTGAGAGGGTGAACAACTGTGTAGCTCACTACAGCATCTGCTGATTCAATCAAACATGGCATGGCCACTTCTTACTCACCTCCCACCAACTCAGATATTAAGCTGGGATTCCCAGTACAATCCACACTGCTGGGAAGAGGAGAAGACAGCAGAATAGAAGCAACCCTAGGGAGCACTGCTTTCTTGGAAAGGAATAAAAGTTGCAGGCAGCTGAGCTGCAAGAGGTATCCCCCATCCACTGCAGACCTCTGGACTGATTGGGTCAGCTGCTCTGAATCTGTGCAGAGACATTGCACCAGAGAGCAGGTGCAGGAGAGATACAATGGCTGCCAGTCCAAGGTTTTGACAAATGATGCCATCCTCAGTGCTCTGGCACATGGAGCCAGGTCTGCTCAAAACTCAGCCTTCCAGCAGTAGCCTTTGCATCAAACCTGCCAGGCTTGGGAGGGAGGAGATAGAACAGAAGCGCCCCTGTGTTGTGCCCTGTGACTAGGGGCTGAGCATGCCTCCTCCCCTGCATGGGACCTGAGCAGAAGAGGAGCCACAGATGCCACAGGCACCACCTGGGAAGCCTTGGGCGACAGCTTCAGTGGGTCCTAGGTGGGACAGGGGGAGAACTGTGGCTGACCAGCAGCTCCAGCCTGCCTACGCGGTCCCTGGGCTGCTCAGACAAACCCTTGCCTGCACGACTGGGCATCAGCAATCTCCAC